TAAAACCTCATAGCTTGGCCGCTGATATGTTGCCCGTCGAGCTTTCCCGCTGCTTGTCCAGCTAGGACCACCCTACCTGTTGGGGCTTTGGCTTACAGGGCTAACAGGAGCTGAGTGGGATGACACCCAGTGTCCAGGACCTGCCGATGAGCCGGGCCGGGCCGGGCTGCGCTGTCATCAGCAGCGAGTGCCCTGGAATACCGCGTTCCCTTTGATATACGGTGAGACTGTTTGTGGTGCCGGCAAGTCAAACAGGGGATTTATTTTGTGCCCGAGATGTTAACCCCACAGAAACAGTTTTGTCACAAGTCAACAGCAGCTTAGGAACCCACCCAACTGTGCAGTGCTTCTCATCATCGGGGAGTGCCAACTGTAACCATGGCAACTCCCCCAGGATGGCTGCCCGAAGCTGCTGCAGTACCAACACCGCACACAATCGGTTGCATTAAACGGCTGGTCCGCAGGATAGTTCTTACAGCCCACCAGAAACTTGAACAACCTGCTGGCTCCGGCCTCCCGCTTGTCCCTTGTCCCCTCGTCCCCTCCGCTCCACCATCGGTGGCCGTGACTTCAGCCACTACGCCCCGAAACTCTGGAACTCTCTCCCTCAATCCCTCCGCCTCGCACACCCCCACCCCCACCACACCCCCACCCCAACTACAAATCCCACCTAAAGACCTTCCTTTTGGATGGTGCTTAGGGTCACCTCCCTCCCTTCCCTCTCTCCCTCCCTCTTCCCCCCTTGGCTCGGGGTCCGACTCTGCCACTGGGAAGCGCTCTGGAAGGCTCTCCCGCGTGAAGGGAGCTGCGTAAACACAAGTTGTTATTGTTGTTGTTGTTGTTGTTCAAAGCATCTGAACCCAAACCCAATCTCTTGCCAGACCAACATTCACTTAACACACGTAAGAACATAACCCAGACCCAGAGAAACCTCACCGGCCTTGATTAATCAGAACGGACAATAATCCCGGCTTTACCTCCCGACATCAGCGTGAGCTTGTGTGGTATTGCACCTCTTCTCTGACGTGCGTTTGACGTCATGTCAATGGCTATATAGGCCGCCAAGAAAGCTTTGTGTTAATACACAGACCCAACAAAACAAATCGTAAGGGAATGACCACACTATCCTGATTAATTATACGGTCATACGTTACTATTTATCGGATCACTCTATTCAGCTAAGATTTCAGAGGGTTCGGAGATCAGCAAACTGTTGAAATCAATTTTAAGCTCCGAAGCTAGTTTTCTCTGTAGTTCTTGAGAGGCCTGAGAGAAAACAGGCTTCAAAATTAAAGAGGGCATTTAAAAACATGTCTTGACTGCAGGAGAGAAAGTGTGAGTGAGTGTGAACGAGTGAGTGAGTGAGTGAGTGAGCGAGCGAGCGAAGGAGAGAGGGAGAGAGAGAGCATTGCATCTCCAAATAACAATCCTTGCATTTTTTTTGATAGAGCGCCTCATCACGAGCGCGAGACATCTCAAAGCTCTTCACACATTATCACGGAAAATAGAACATCAGAGGGAGACGCGATACTATTTTGGCCATTTTTTTTTAAAGAAGAAAGCCAGTCCCCCAGTTTTAATCCGATCCCTCCGGATAAAAATGAAATAGCATTTGTTTAAATAATCCATACGCACTCCGGGTCCACAGACACCCCAAGCAACAAGTTTGTAAGTTGTTTACAAGTCAATAAACTTCTTGGGCTCACTGATGTTAATACAGTTCCGCAGACGCTGTCTATATTTACGCACCCCTTGCAGGCACTAAATAAGTTTACACACTTCATTAAATACAGTGATTATGTTTTTACAGTCTTCACCCAAATTGATTGTCTTTGCACACCCTTCGCGTGACTGGATCATATTTGCAATTCCGCGCACAAACCGGTTGCGTTTACCGCAGACAGCGCGGTTATTCTTGGGCTGCAGTTCGTTTAGCACCAAGGCTCGTGCGCGCGTGGAGTCCTGTAGCGCAGTGGTTAGAGAGTGTCGCCTCGCAAGCCAGAGGACCCGGGTTCGATTCCCGGGCAGGACAGGGCGAAGCGGTGAGCAGGAACCCGGTTGTTAGTCGATTGGCGGATCGCTTTTCCGGGGGGTAATAAGGGTCTTTGGGTGCACAGTCATACTCCGGGGCTGGTGTAGTTCGACAGCGACCACAAAGTCAGCTGGTGCAGGGGAACGCAGAGAGACTCCACCACCCATGTGAATGAGTCAGCCTCACGTACCACGTGCCGTCCAAAAATCCAAGTAAATAATATCCAACAAAGTCACAAGCTTCTGACTCAGAGGCAAGAGTACTATCAGCTGACCGGTCAAACACACCTGATACACAGCGCGGGTATTTGATCACCGTTGCCGTTAGCGCGATCGAAACCCCCAAATCCAAATAAATTGTCACTATTTATCGTTTTCTTTCCTTTCCGCCTCCGGCAAACAGACCCACCTTCATTTTGCGCATTTGCTGTTCCCGTTGCAAGGCGCTGTACCTCGTATTTATTTAAACTGAAATGAGTTCAGATCTTCTGCAGTTCTCAATGACACGACATTAAATACGGTGAGCGTTTCGCGCCCACAAAAACACGCGCTTTTACAGCGTGGCCCGTGAAGCGCTTTGAGACGTCTCGAAGACGTGATGAGGCGCCGTACCGAACGCGAGGATTATTATATCACATTACGTGTGTATTTGAAGCGCTTTGGGACGTCCTCCCGACGTGAAAAGCGCTATATCAAATGCAAGGTTTATTATTATTATTATTATTATATTATAACAGAACGGGGTGGAATTCTGTTTGTTGTTCGCCACCAGATGGAGCTTTCCTTCCTTCCTTTTTTTTTCGCCTTCCTCTTTCCTTCCTCTTGCTCAGCCGGCAGTTGTCAAGTTGCCATTCAGTTCACGAGCTTCAATCGTCTGTCGGTCTCGCGCATTTCACCGTATCAGGCGCCTTCCATAAAAATTCAAGTCAATAATATCCCAACGACCAGCCCTCGGGCACCAGTTCGGTCATTTTTTTTTTTGGAGGGGGGGGGAGAGGAAAAAAAAGGAATGTGACTCAATCGGAACAAGTTACAGGTCGTTCATCTCATCAAAGCGCTATTTGATGAGCTCGCGCCAACTCTTATTCCTTTTAATCCTATTTCCCTCCCACTTCTCCCAATCCATCGATGCCTGTGTTCCCGCCTATCTATAAAATGCCGGTCCCTTCAATCCCCGGCTGTTCGTGGGGACGTCGCTGGGGGCGCAATTGGCGGCCGCGTTTCGCCCACAAAATACAGGCAGTCGATTCACCTTCCGCTGTATCCTGTGAAGCGCTTTGAGGCGTCTCGAAGAGGTATCGAATGCAAGGATCACTGCTGTTATTTTTACTCCACAGGGTCACGGGCTGTTTACTCTCCAGGTGCTGTCGGGAACGGGAGGTTACGAACAAAACGCGCTAACCGTTTGCTGGCGGGGTCACGTTCGCAACGGATTGCCGTGATTGCATCCCAGCGCATTTCTTCAGTCAGAGCACCGACGGGGCCATCACTCATCAATTAAGGACAGTAGAAAGCAATAAGCGCGCGTATCCATTTACAGTAAGAACCAAGTCTCGGAGAAGAGTTGCCCCCTGTGGACTTCCTGAGTCGCTGAGTCAAGAAGCAGTCGCGCACTACATTAACGAGCTTCCTCTTAACGCCCTCAATTTATGTTGGGATGGCTTTAACCTTCCGATAATAATAATAACGACAATAATAATATTCCCAGCATTTGACACAGCGCCTTATCGCGTCTTCGGTTTCCTTTTTTTCCCCTCGTGGATCAAGGGATTGAGGGGTATGGGGGTAAGGCGGGGAGGTGGGGTTAGAATAGATCGGCCGTGATCTTGCTGAATGGCGGGGCGCAGGCTCGAGGGGCGGAATGGCCTCCTCCTGCCCCTGGTCCCGACGTGCGAGACGGCTCAAAGTGAATCGTCTGTCCGATCCGCGGGTGAAACGCGGCGGGCAGCGGATTGCACGGCCTCAGCGTCCCGCGAACAGGCGTTCCCGTCTTTCCTGCATCTCTCCGCCCACAAAAACACGCGGTCACCACACGCTACGGCGTAGCCCGCGAAGCGCTTTGAGACGTCTCGAAGACGTGGTCAGGCGCTGTGTCAAATGCCGGGATTCATACTGTTATTATTATTGTTATTATTGTCCTACACGAGGATCTCAGTCACTTTGCTGACTCCCCCCCACGGCCTCGGCTCGGCCTCGGGGCCTCTCACATTCCGCGGAGTTTACCTTTGGTTTATCTCCTCTCTCTGTTCTCATTCCTTCTCTCTCTCATTCTCATCCCCTTCTACACCCCCCACCCCAGCCCCTACTCCCCCAGCCCCTACCCCCCCATCATCACCCCCACCCCCCCATCATCACCCCCCACACCCCCACCCCAGCCCCTACCCCCCCATCATCCCCCCTACCCCCCCACCATCACCCCCAACCCCCCCACCCCAGCCCCTACCCCCCCATCATCCCCCCTACCCCCCATCATCCCCCCTACCCCCCCACCATCACCCCCAACCCCCCACCCCAGCCCCTACCCCCCCATCATCCCCCCTACCCCCCCATCATCCCCCCTACCCCCCACCATCACCCCCAACCCCCCCACCCCAGCCCCTACCCCCCCATCATCCCCCCTACCCCCCCTCCATCACCCCCACCCCTCCACCCCCTACCATCCCCCCACCCCTAGCTCCCCTTCATCCCCCCCACCCCACCCCCTACACCCCCATCACCCCCCCACCCCCTACCCTCCCATCATCCCCCCCCACCCCCCCACCAGACACACACACCCACACACGGGGGCGCACAGTGTGGGGGTGGATAAGTGAGTGAGTGAGTGAGTGAGAGCGCACGACACCCCCTCCTCTCCCCTCCCCCTGTGGACAGGTCGGGGGCGCGCCGCGCGCTCCCTGTGCTGCTGCTGTCGGTGGTGGATGAGAGCCCTCTCTCTCTCTCTCTCTCTCCTCTCTCTCCTCTCTCCTTCCCCCTCTCCCCCTCTCTCTCCTCTCTCTCTCTCAGTCTCCAGTGCGTAAAATGGCGACGGCATCGCCCGGTGCGATCTCTGTGGCTTTGCCTCAACTGCTGCTCCTCAGCCTCGTCGCCTCCTACAGCTTCCCCTCCAACTACACGTAAGTGCACAGCACCGGAGGGGGAGAGGGGGAGAGGGAGAGGGAGAGGGGGGGAGAGGGAGGGGGGGAGAGGGAGAGGGAGGGAGAGGGAGAGGGGGGGAGAGGGAGAGGGGGGGAGGGAGAGGGGGAGGAGGGGGAGAGGAGGGATGGGGAGAGGGAGGAAGGGAGGGAGAGGAGGGATGGAGAGAGGGAGAGAGATGGAGAGGGAGGGAGAGAGGGATGGAGAGAGGGAGAGAGATGGAGAGGGAGAGGAGGGATGGAGAGAGGGAGAGAGATGGAGAGGGAGGGAGAGAGGGATGGAGAGAGGGAGAGAGATGGAGAGGGAGGGAGAGAGGGATGGAGAGAGGGAGAGAGATGGAGAGGGAGAGGGGGCTTTCTGTTTTGAGGGGATTGTGGTCCCATCAGCTTTGTGACTGAACCCAGAGCTCAACTCCATCTCTCTCTCTCTCTGTCTGTCTGTATCTGTCTCTCTCTGTCTCTCCATCTCACTCTCTTTCTCTCTGTCTGTACCTGTATCTCTTTCTTCCTCTCTCTCTGTTTCTGTTTCTCCATCTCTCTCTCTCTCTCCCCCTCTCGTTCTGTACCTGTCTCTCTATCTCTCTCTCCGTGTATCTGTGACTCTCCATCTCTTTCTATCTCTCCATCTCCATCTCTCACTCTTTCTGTCTCTCTCTCACTCTGTCTCTCTCTCTCTCTGTCTCCCATCTCTCTCTCTCTCTGTATCACTGTCTCTTTCCATCTCTCTCTCTCTCTCTCTCTCTCTCTGTGTTGCAGGTTGGCACAGCACTGTAACGGAGAAGACGTGATAAGGCGCTGTATCAAATGCAAGGATTATTATTATTATTATTATTATTATAGAAGTGGAGTGAGTGACCTTGTCCACCCAACCCCCAGCCCCGAGCACGAGGGCAGGGAGTTAATAATAATAATAATAATAATAATAATAATAATCCTTGCAATTGACACAGCGCCTCATCACGTCTTCGAGACGTCTCAAAGCGCTTCACGGGATATGCTGTGAAGTCCATTGACTGTGTATTTTGTGGGCGAAACCCGGCAGCCGATTAGCGCACAGCAGCGTCTGCCCACAAACAGCCGCGGGTTGAAGCGACCGAATGATTATTTGTAATTGTGGCTAGCGAAGTGGGCTAGCTAATTTATGAGATAAGTTGGCAGCTTCCAATAAATATATATATATGTGTGTGTGTGTGTATATATACATATACAGTCAATTCACTTTACAGTATATTCTGTGAAGCGCTTTGGGACGTCCAGAAGACGTGAAAAGCGCTATATCAAATGCGAGGATTATTATTATCATTTATTATAAATATATATATGTGTGTATATGGGCTTTGGAGTGTGTAACGCTCTCTCTCCCCCCTAACTCAGGCAGGTGGGCCAGTTTTGCCAAAGCTGCTGTGGTAGGTTTGGGTACCAGCCTCTGATAAACATATCATTATTAATAATAATAATAATAATCTTTGCATTTAATACAGGCCCTGAGATCGCGTCTCAAAGGGCTTCACAGAATATACTGTAAAGTGAATTGACTGTGGGCGAAATAATAGGCATCATCCGAGAGGGAAGGAAAGAGTTTTTATTGTTATTTCTTCAGGTTTCTGGGTGTGTTTTGGCGGTTCAGAGTGTGTGTGTGTGTGTTTCAGGGTTTTTTTTAGGGTGTTTTGTTTAGGGTGAGCCTGTGAGTCTTTTTAGGGTGAGGCGGGTCACCCCACCAGGCAACCACTCCGAGAATCCCTCGTGTTTTAACGTGTTTGAAATGAATTGAGAGAGTTTGCTCTCCTGGGTGTGCTTTGCCCCCTCCCACACCATTCGTTACGAACGTTCCCGGGTCTCTGCGTTATCGTGATATCTCCCACCCCCCCCCCGTCCCCCCCCGTCCCCCCCACCAGGGTATCTTTTTGCGCTCCGTCGAACACCGTGTGTGTGTGTCGGTATGTCTGTGTGTGTCTGTCTGTGTGCGTCTCTGTGATGTGTCTCTGTGTGTGTCAATGTGTGTCTATGTGTTAATCTGTCTATATGTGTGTGTCTGTGTATGTCTGTGTGTTTGTCTAAGTGTGTGTGCGTATCTGTGTGTGTGTTTGTTTAAGTGCGTTTGTGTGTGTCAATGTGTGAGATACCATGAAAACAGTTGGAGTGTGGAGTGTGGAGGGTGGAGGGTGGGAGGGAGATTGGGAGAGAGCAGCGACGGCAACAAATCTTGAGTCAAACGTTGGGGAAAGGGGTTGAGGTTTAGTGAGGAGCGTTGCTCTCATCAGAGAGAGCGGTTGGTTGGGGAAGTATTTGTGTACGTATGTATGTGTGTATGTATGTGTGTGTGTGTGTGTGTTTGTGTGTGTATATGGATGTATTTGTGTGTGTATCTGCGTGTGTGTCAGTGTGTGTGTACATGTGTTTGTGAGAGTGTGGGTGTGTCAGTGTGTAAATAGATGTGTTTGTGTGTGTCAGTGTGTGTGTGGGTGTGTGAGTGTGTGTATATGTGGGTGCGTGTGTGTGTGTGTGTATCAGTGTGTGTGTGTGTGAAGGCAGTTAGTTGAGAGAGAGACAGAGGATGTGAATACTCAATTCCACGGAGCAAAAGGGATCTGTGTTCGGAATGGGAACTGACTATGTTTTTGCCTTTGGTTCCTTTTTGTGTTGAATTGCACATCTTAATAAATCATCCTTCCAAAAAAAAAACACTGTGGATAAATATAGAATTGCCTGTTTCCTCCACGGACCCCGGCTTTGCATTTTCCCTGAATCTCTCTCTCTCTATCTCTTGTCTCTCTCTCTGACTTCTCTCTCTCTCTCTCTCTTCCTCTGTGTCTCTCTTTCTGTGTGTGTGTGTCTCTATATCTCTCTGTGTGTGTGTGTCGCTCTCTCTGTCTCTCTCTCTGAGTCTGTGTGTGTGTGTGTGTGTCTCTCTCTGAATCTCTCTGTGTGTGTGTCTCTCTCTCTGTCTCTCACTGAGTCTCTGTGTGTGTGTGTGTGTGTCGCTGTCTCTCTTTCTATCTATGTCTGTGTCTGTCTCTGTGTATGTGTCTCTCTTTCCGTCTGTGTGTGTGCGTGCGTTTGTCTCTCTCTCTCTCTCTCTCTGTGTCTCTCCCTTGAGTCTCTCTGTGTGTATGTGTGTCTCTCTCTTTCTACCTCTCTGTGTCTGTGTGCGTGTGCGTGTGCGCGTGTGTGTGTCTCTCTCTCTCTGTCCCTTTCTCTCGGTATGACTTTCTCACATTAGGAACTTCAGGAAGGGATTGTGCCGGATTCATTCATTCAAACGTTCCTGTTTGAGATTTAGTGCCATCGGCTACCACAGCAGGGAATCAATCATGTAACCTCGGTTTTTTTTCGGCGCGGAATAGGATGGGAATTTGGAACTGAATTTGCATGACAAGCAGAAAGCAGTCTCCTTTGTATACCAACAGAAACGGTGTTCGACCCGAGTAAAAAATTTGTCCAAATTCCCAGCCACATTGTGTCTCTATCTATACATTCGCGCACAAATGTACAGTCAGTTCACTTTACAGCATATTCTGTGAAGCCCTTTGAGACGTCTCGAAGCCGTGAAAAACGCGATATCAAATGCAAGGATTATTATTATATGTACCTCTCTCTATGTTTTTCTCTCTCTGTTTCTGTCTATGTATTTCTCTATGTTTCGGTTTTTCTCTTATGTTTCTCTCTATGTTTCTCTCTCTGCTTCTGTTTTTCTCTTATGTTTCTCTCTATGTTTTTCTCTATGTATCTCTCTGTTTATGTTCTTCTCTTATGTTTTTCTCTATGTATCTCTATGTTTCTCTCTATGTATCTCTATGTTTCTCTCTATGTATCTCTATGTTTTTCTCTACGTATCTCTATGTATCTCTCTATTTATGTTTTTCTCTTATGTTTTTCTCTATGTATCTCTATGTTTTTCTCTATGTATCTCTATGTATCTCTCTTTATGTTTTTCTCTTATGTTTTTCTCTATGTATCTCTATGTTTTTCTCTATGTATCTCTATGTTTCTCTCTATGTATCTCTCTCGGTATCTCTCGATATTTGGGAGTTGTGTGAAGGAAGGAAACCTGATCTTTCATCTCTGTACGGTTTCTGGTGCCAGGGATTGTGGCACGAAGGACACACGGATTGGTACCCGTTGTGTTTTTCTGGATGAATTTATGTGTGAGATAACCAGCGTTTGTGTGTGTGTCAATGTGTGTGTGTGTGTCAGTGTGTGTGTGCGTCGATGTGTGTGTGTGTCAATGTGTGTGTCAATGTGTGTGTATGTGTGTGTGTGTCAATGTGTGTGTGTGTGTGTCAATGTGTGTGTGTGTGTCAATCTGTGTGTGTGTCAGTGTATGTGTGCCAATGTGTGGTCTGTGTCGATGTGCGACACACATTGATTAGTAGCTGTTTTTTCTCTCGCTGAATTTATCTCACTTTCCCCTTCGGTTTGTGAACTTGTACCTGGATTACCGCAGTGAATCCGGGTTCAAGTACCGCCCAACTCGACCCAAACCCCAATATCCACCCATTTTCTTTCCCGAAGTTGGGGTTGGGGACTGCAGTTACTCACCTTAAAAAGCCCTAAAAAAAAACCCACTGATCATCAAAGCTAAAACGCCTCGTCTCTCTCGCTCAGCGTCTTCAGACTGGGTTCTGAGGTCTGTTTCTCTCTCCCTCTCTCTCTCTTCCCTGCGTCAGGAGCTGTTGTGAAGCGTTTTGAAATGTGTATGCCTCTATTTCTAATTATTGACTGCATCTCGTGCGCGCGCGTGTGCGTGTATGTGTGTGAGAGAGAAAAAAAGGTTAGGAAAAAAGAGCAACGGCTTGGTAGGGAGCCAGGAATATTTGACCTGTCTTGGCTGCTTTTTAAAATAATAATTACAATAATAATAATAATACTTGCATTTGACGTCTCAAACGTCTCGGAGACGTCTCAAAGCGCAATATGGAGCAAAGTGAAATGAATGTATATTTTGTGGGCAGAATAAATGGGGATCAGAAAAAGAAAATACC